GTTTTGCGTCCTTGATGCATCTCTTTGATCTCCTGCATCTGGTTGCCTTAGAAGACTGCTACATAATTTTTGACTGAAGTTCGCCATGGCGGACAGTTTTCTTCGCGGGGCCTTCTGGGACTGGTGGTTGATTTCGAGACATTTATGTGGGGTCTTCAGTATGACCTCACAGAGTTTCTTCTGCACGTCTCGGCGCCGAATTCATACATGATGTATGATATAAATATGGTACAGGGAGCTCACCGATCGTTGTTACGGAACTCACTCGTTCTGTTGTGCCTTACGGGCTCTCTCTCAAGCCCAACCGGCAGCCGCACAGCGGCGCATGATATAGGCAGAAGGGGTATTACCGACAAAGACCAGGGAGACTGGAATGACCGTTTCTGGCTTACTAGCCGTCATCAGCCAGTCATACCCAACCCCGAAGTGTGGAACACTTGAGGCTCGAACTCGCGACCTGTTAGTTAGAAGTCCACGCCTCTAACCACTGGGCCGCGAGCCCGATATCCTGTCGGTTTTCGATCAGGAATATACAGTGGTAGGGGGCGCTCACCGATCGTTGGGTATGACTGGCTAACGACGGGTAATAAGCCAGAAAAGGTCATTCCAGTCTCCCTTGTCTTTGTCGAAAATACCCCTTCTGCCTATGATATAAATATATATGATGTATGATGTATGTATATTTATGATGTCACTGTAAATGAGTCGTCTCGCCAAATGCTCATCGGGCATTCTCGCGGCGTGGTCACTTCATCGCATCTGAATCTGCTCCGGAATTGCAGAGATTCTGAGAATGCCAGTCTATCCCAGGACTTGAGATTCCGGAATCTGTTTTTCTCCTGTACTTCTTAATATCCTCCGAAAACGTCGTAGGTGTATGTATGTGAGTTCCAACTCGGAAGAACAAGATGCGATCACTGGAACAAGAAGTTTATTGGCCTACAGTTTCGGATTCTCACTCGAACCCATCATCAGAGACAGACGCAGATAAGAGTAGGGAAGGCACAAAGGTTGCAGTATTTATAGGACCTAACTACCGTGGGGCCAAATACATACTATAGTTAACAGCACTTGTGATCACCGTCGGGGATCATAATTGATGCGATGATGGCTCGTCAGTCCGCGTCCGAGTCATTAATTGCCGCAATTTCATAATCCATACTGGATGTTGGCGTGATGACTACTTGGAAATTTGGCTCGCTGTCACTGGGATTGTTGCTCGCCCGTGCCCTCTCTACGCGACCGAATCCCCTGCGCAGGGAACGTCTCAACACCGAATATGGTAACGGAAGGTCATTGCGCTTAAGCCGCCGCGATATATTTCTGTTCACGGCATCCAAGAAAATGGTGTGGAGGTTAAGTCCTATTTACTGGAACTTTTCATGCAACTATGGTGCTGCAACTATCGTGTGGGCTGTTTCGTAATTCATACTGAGTCGTTGGGGGAAGTCTGTTCGGTCGGTGTACAGTACGTTGATAGAAGAGAATATGGGCAATTTGCCGACAATACCAGAAGAAGAGGCTCCACTGTGATTGTTGCAAATTTATCGGTCCCATTTTCGTCATTTGGCCTGCCTCGCTGTCCACCAGTCGACCACTGCACAAAAACGCACAGTGTGGTCTGAGTTGTACCGTCAGTTAGCAACCTCACAAGCCACGACTTTTAGCGCCTCGTGGTAGTTCCAAGTGCATCAGATCTATTATAATGAGGAATGCGATGAAGTGCCATAGGAAAGGAATCTCCAGAGTCGACCGCATTCTCCCTCCTCTCCTGAGTACCAGTCCACTGTCCAAGCCAGTCAACCAATCGATGATGAGATACAGTCTCTCTTATCTGCCCACTGGTATAATTAGTCATGTTTCCAAAGTAAGATTTATAATTTGACTGAAAAGTCCTGAAAGAACGCAGAGGTAAGTCATCGAATTTCTTGGCACTTTGCGCTTTTGCATGGTGAAGTGGGGCTAAGCAACTTATCCTGGTTTATTTTGAAATGGTCGCTATACAAGCCAACACATAGGAAACACATCCGATTATGACTTCAACAGAGGCAGTAATACGACGCAACAGTGCTCTCACCGCCAACTATTACTTTTAAGAGGTCCTGACTCCGCACAGATGAAAGAAGTATCTACCGGTCTGAGTCTCCGCCTTAGTGGATGACATTACAATCGTCCGTGGTGAGAAAGTGTAGTGTAGTCCAATGATCAGTGTAGAAAGAAAATATTCCACTTCCATAACCTACTTCACTACAGTACTGGTGAAACCGCCACCAATCAAGTCACGAAGTTAAACCATGGTTGCGAAAGCTTACTAGACATCAACTTGCAGCCCCCTACATCTCGTAATACAGGTGGCTAGAGCGTTGGCTGTAGTAAAGTCCCCCCCGTGCTGTCTTGGGTTAGGATCCCGCCGAGGCGCCGAGTTTTTCAAAGCTGGCTCAAAATGAACAACTACTTTCGTCATTTCAGCAGGTTGTCTCAGCTTCAACGGGAACTGGGATGGCCCAATCTGGCATATCAGCTTTAAAAAGCCAAGGCTCGGTCACAGGCAAAGGAAACTCGACGTTCGAACCAGAACGCAGTTAGTCCTTGAGCCTAACGCCCATATGCTGTGGGCTACGATTGAGAAGCCTGAATCCCATGCGAATGGGGCGCAGGCCTTACATATTTGCGGGACGGAGTACAGGCGGTTAGTCTTGCTTCAGAGCTCCGGCCTGGAACCTTCACAGTCGACCGAGTAGGGACGAGGAATCATTGACCGGGGTGCATTACCAACAAGCACAAGGCAGACCGGAGGGATCATTTCCGTCTCATTCGCAATTGTCAACTAGTCAAAAATGTGACTCCGGAGAGGAAAAGATCGAAGACCTGGACGTTATCTAAGGACTGAACACGATGGTTATATGTGATAATTCACCTACTGTGGCCTAATTCGTAGAACATCTCACCCAGATGCACGATGACCAACTCGCCCTGACCCAAATTCCAGATCTCGCCAGCCTGGAATGACGAAGAATAAGCCGGTGGTGGCAATTCTCCCCTCCCTTTTGCCTGTTGGCACTCGATCCGCTGTGCAAAGAGGATCATCGAGAATGTGGGACTACTGTCATGATACCAATTCGGCAGACGTAGTTGCCAAGATCGGTATGACTGTCTAGATGATAATAAGTAATCATATCACGCTAACTCTCGAGCAGGTACAACACAACTTTAGCAAATCGCCATCGGCCACCGTTAGCTGGCATTACTGTCAGCCAACCGGCATGTTTAACCGAAATTGCTGTATCACACGATTCGGCATATCAGGGTGTACTTTCTAGGCATAACATGGAATGACCGCGCAACTCTGTAGCTGGTTGCCGATATCCAGGCATACCACATGTCCACCCGAGCCGCAGATTTAGCGTACAACAGCCTCTCTCAGCTTTCCGAGCCACCCCAACGCACATGGCTCCCCTGCCCAACCGATCATGATCGATTACGATATCGACTGCATACTCGACAGAAAGCTTCGTGTCCTGAAGTTCCCGACTCCAGATTTACTCACCTCGAATATGCTGACAACCGTTTCCCTCCACTTTAAAAAAGTCAGGGCAAACAGTCTCTAGGTCCTTAGCATATTATGCACCTACTTGCATGAAGGCTGAAGAGCATTCCGGAGTAGTGTATCGTATCCCGTGTCAAAACTACACAGGCCAGACTGGACACATGATCGGATCGCGCATACACGAGCATAAGGTAGCTGTGCGACGAGGCGACGCATTATCATAAGTGGCCGCCCACACCTACGAAATGGGTCGAGATTGACTTCGTATCCACCAAAATCGCCGCCCACGGCGGGAACAAAACAGGACGCGAAGTGATTGAAGCCTAGGTCTCGGATGAGAACTCAGTCAATCGATTTATCGGTCTGGCGCCGGCGTACAGAGCCCTGCACAGTCACCTCCAGTCTTGCGCCGCCGGTCGATGATTGGGACGATAAACAAAATGTCCTGGTGCTCGACCCCTCTTCTTCTTCTTCACCTGCTTGTATACCGATCGATATTAAGGGAACTACAGCTCCTCCCGGATGCCAACAGGCCATATAACACGGGAGAGCAGTCAGACATACCGAAGTCAGTTTGATAAAAGACGACAGTGTCTGTTGCATGGACGCAGAAGTCTACAGTTTGGCCGTCCGACTACAAACCTTATTCCTACGCCGAATCAACCAGGTTCCCCTTAACACTCGGTCACTTCCCCTTCAAGGGAGCTTTTTCCAGAGCGGACCCCTCACTATTGACTAGCAGTGGAAAGTTCCGTCGTGTTCACCCGTTTGGTTCACTAGCTGGGAGCGAGTATGACGTTGCATTTTCAACCTACAACCGAAGCAAAGCGGGAGTTACAAATAAGTCGGTGGCGATCACCAATTACTGAGCCAATTGTTAATTTTATCCCTTCCTATGAGATATACTTTGCATGGTCGGTGGTTGCATGGCTGGATGGCGACGGCAAATAAGGCAAAGACGGTTATCTCCATCACGTTTGCCTTTACTTCGTTCAGAGTACATAAATTATATCACAAATAACCCCACCTTGTATTTACGTCAACTCCTTTCTTGTCAAAATTGGATACCTTTTGAAAAGAATATTATTTGAGCGAAACTGAGCGCATGGGAGGACGTTGGAGATAAGGCGGAGATGCTTTTCCCTACAATCTATTTAACGACAGTATCATAAGGAATCCCGTAGCACTAGGCCACAATCCCTGACCATTAAAAACAAACGACCTCCACGTTCCTGGATCTTTTTTTTTACAAGGGCTTGACTGTCGATGCAGTTCAATATGAAACGGGGATCAAAGCGTAGAAAATGCCCTGTCACGAGCATCAATTTTGGAAAAAATATAGTATTGTAAAGAAGAGATGCGCATGACAAGGCGAGAACTCAGAAAGCCGGGAAGTACGCAGACTGGCGCCGTTGAGACAGACGAAGGATGGAGGAGTCTAGGGCCTCTGTTCTCATTGGACAACCGAGGGCTGCTGAAGCATAAAATATTAAATAGTGCGATGGTACTGCCAAAATATGAGTAGATACTTTAAATGGAATAAAATGCACAAGCGGGTACCTTTTTCGTCGCGGCTAACACGAGCGCGAGCTGGTCGCTCATCTGCATCATCTTTTTCTCCAAATTCATGGCCTTTTCCATCTGAAGGAATGACAATATAACGAGGTAAGGCTGGCAAACCTAGGGTTGTGATAGAGCAAATTCATGTTACAGCTAGACCTAACGTTACCTTCTGTGAAAGGACTTTTAGCATTTCGGCGGAGTCGTAGCGTTCTGCATCGTCAAGAAACCGAACAGTCTCATCTTCTTGGTTAATTCGGACATGAATTGATTTTGATGGGATCTAGCAAGAAGCGGAAATAGGGTGAAAAAGTAACATCAACATTTTATAGAAAATAGGATAACGAAATAGCTGGAACGTGGCTAACGGAAGTTGTCCAAAGGCCGTCTCAGGGTAAACGGACCCTCGAGCAGTCAGATCCAAGTAGCAGATAAAAAAACTGTTGCTGCCTCCTGACTCTAACCACAAATGCTCTTTCCTTGCTTACTAAGACAGCGTTCTCATGGTCCTTTGGTGGAAATAAGCCAGGCGGTATAAACATTTTGGGAGTATAGGATAAGCGGCAGTTCGGTTGTTGCGATAGACTACTACGACGGCCATTTTCAAGACATCATTAAACACTGCATGATGCGTTATGCAACCATCTTGATGTTGCTGCCATACCTCGGCGGCCTATCCCATCTGATCTGTAAGACCGGGTCTAGCTGGAGACAACTGTTCCGTAATTTAATGAATGCAAAAATGGCTTACCATCTCGAGCAAGTGACGCTCCGCTTCAGCCGCATCAGACAAGTGGACTCTTGCAGCCAGGTCGGAGAGGGAGAGGGTCATAAAAGTCTGTCATAAGGAGAAACGCAGTCAGAAGAAGTTTTTCTTGGATATTTACAAAAAGTATTGTCGGGAGACGGCAGAAGTTTTGTGATGCGAGAACAGAGCCAGATGAAATGCTGCGGATGAACCCCTTTTCGAGTCACAAAGTAATCTAGCAGTTTCCTTAATATGCGTATTCACAACTTTGGTTTAAAAAATTCATGCAACAGACTGAGACCGAATTATGATGTGTCTGAGAGTGCCTACGCAAGACTAGCATATCACAAGGGGTTTTGACGTTCGGATCAGATTGAATGACTTTAATACTTCTCACTGTAACATTCGACGCACTAAAGCTCTGTCATCAGACGCGTGGAAGAAACAATGCTACAACGTGGGCGGCGTTATAATTATGGGACAGTCATCTGGCCACCTTTATTCGTTGGCATAATAGTAAACTACTTTGTGATAAAATCGTGTTCGCGCAAAAACTGTCACTGTTTGCTCGTGTGGAAGAACGGGACTGATCTATGCAAAAATTACGTTGCCCTATAAGGTTGGGGGAAAATTGTGTGATTGTGCTGAACGTGTCACTAAGTACATTTCCATACTAGTGCATTGGAAAAGGTCAAAACCAGCTGGTTACATGCCGAGAGTGGACCGTTCTCAAGCAGGGACGTTTTATGGGAAGTATGCTTAGCGGCCAGAAACCAAATCTTCTGACTGAAGACTGTGGGATGGTGGAAGGGGAAATCAAAACAAGAAGAAAAGTCGAAGGGCCTACCTTGGTCAGATTCTGGATACGACATTTGATGTGCCGGTCAAGCAGCTGCTTTACAAGGCCGAAGTTTTTGTCCTAATACGAAAGAAACAAAGGGAATTGTGAACACAACACATAACGGTGGGAGAGAAGTAATGAGCGAGATGAAGAGTGAAGGAAAGACAAACGAGACAAACAGACTATGGCGGAAGAGGAGGGTGTAAACTTACTGCCTTGAAGGTCTCCGCCTCGTTTTCAATCACTCTGGCCAGGGTGGCAGGATCTGGGGAGGAGAAGGCACTGGAGAGGGACCTATATTTGTCGAAAGTACCCTAGGAGTGAGAAATGACAAAGGTTGATGGGGTCGACACGTCCAGATATCCATGGACCCAGCTTTTTTAAACGGGCAGGAGGGACGACATAGTCGTCGATGGGGTCCGCCGCAAAGACCAAACCCCCATAAAGACCTGGGCGTGCCGTTCACCCGTCGGGTGAACCTTCTTATACATTTGCGAATAGTGGGTTATGGGCGTGGAAGACATGCCAAAATTTAGGTTGGTTGAGAATTGTACTTCGGGTGAAGTACGCGGACTTTGACTCGAATGAAACAGTCGCATTCAATGCAACAGCACCGTGACGGGAGTCTGTGTCATCAGAAAAAGACGGTTGAGGTATGTTGAGTAGGCTTCTTCTCAATCAGTTCTTGTGATTTCAGTACTGCTTCCGATCCAGTACCCAAGAACTGGCTCGACAAGATCTGCCGAGATTGTCCGTATCCCGAGTAGAGCACGGGATCTGACTGAGCCACATACATTATTGCGGTCGCAGTAACTCTGTTGAACAGCGTGTGAGAGATTGAAGAATTACTCGGGAGCCACTCAGCATTGTTGGGGAATTCCTAATCTGATAGTCCTTTCAATAGTCAACTACGTGCCTACATGCCTCTGATGTAAGATATCAGTGCAAACAGCTCCTTGGCAATTCTCCGCTCTGGAACCTAATTTTGCTTCACTCCACTGAGTGGCAGATATAAACATCTTATCTTCATAGTGGGACCGATCTGCTTCCATTTCTACGATCGGCATATGGCAGTACATAAACCTGGTTTAGAAGAAACCGGGCAAGCTAATGTCCATTATGAATGTCTGTTAAAGCAACCCAGAGCGTTTGAGCACTCCTTTCAGTTCAGTAGTGCAGTGGGACTGTCCAAGTGCACTTAAATAAGGCGAGGCGTATGCACTATACCTTGGGGAATTCGGACCAAGACCAAACTTTTCACAAACGACAGACTGCAAATAAATTACCAAATTTGGTGGAATTCTAACCATAGGATACTGAGCAAAGAACGAAGAATTAGATGTTGAAGTGGAACTATAGTGGTGTCCTCTAGTGGCTGTGGGCTGTTTTTTCTACGTCAAATACACCGTGTTGCCTGCGGATACTTTTAATGAGATAGAAATTACAAAGCAGCAGTAGAGAGGAGAATGCTAACCTGGCGAGTGGGCATGAGGGAGTGAATGGACTCCAGGTATACTCCGTCAGGAGGGTACTAAAATAAAGCAGAAACACGGCTTTAGAGCGGACACCAGTGAGTCTGCGTTTCGTGGGTCAATTCGGAAGGCATAGTTGACGCTGGGCCTGCATACAGCTGAAGCAGCAACTATTCTCAGAACCTGTCACAGCGCAGAGTTGCCGTCGTATAAGACTGTTTAAATGAACAGTCTGTGATACCTCCAGCGAAGTATCTGAAGAAAATACTTATGCTAACCGTATAACAATCCTAAGTTGAGGATGGCTGAACGACACAGGGCAAAGACGACGTATACAGTGTCAAGATAAAAAGTTGGCAAAACAAATAGTGAATGAAGTGGAAAAACTTGTCAGTCAGTTAGTTGTAGGTATGGAAAAGACCAGTATAGCGTGAAGAATAGTGGCTATGTCCAAGAAGGTTGGTATTATGCGGCTTGTTCAGATCACACTGAGGTGAACGGAACAGAGATAAACAACAGCATAGTATTCTTTACTACATTTATGAGGTTGAAGTAATCGAAGTTAGGACTACTACCACTGCATGCAGTGTGGCAATGGACGGATAAGAAAACTACTTCCTCGGCGTTGTAAACCCACAAAACACGCAGGAGAACACTTAAGCATATTTGCAGGCCAAAGTGACAAAGCTCTTCAAAATAAAGTAGCACTTCAGAAAAACTATAGATAACAACGTTGAAATCGTAATGGGCTATATGGAAAAGTTAAATATACTGTGGTTTCACTCGCAGAACGAATGTTTATATGCGTCGATGAGGCTTTGTAGTGTTTTTTTTTAAAGACGTAAATGAAGAGAAACTGTAGACAACCAAATGTAGTGCTGGGGACTAGGTGGCTAGCCAGAGACTATCTTAAAGTCTTAATTTACCTTTCCTTGGTGGATAAGAGATACGAGAAGATGTTTCTTTGCAGCTTCATCAAGAATAGACCTTTGGGTGGAGATTGGAATCATGAAGCACTGAAGGTAACTAAGGTAGTGCGCATACCATATTGAAAAAGTGCAGTGATCGGTCCCACTTCCGGAGTACACCATAGATCATGCCTCCATAGTAAAAATATAAAAGGGCATCTTGTAAGCCGAACGCGTTTTTCTACATATATACGTCAACATGAGAAAGGCACTTACGTCACACTCAGAGTCAAGGATATCAGTATCAAGAAGAGGAAGGACAGGCTTAAAGCATTTGGCCGAAAGAGCGAGCTAAAAAATATAGTACGAGTTAACTGCCTACTTGGCACACATCGGCATGGACGGACGTCAACTGTTCTGGTGAATTCCGAATTTTTTCAATTGCCATAAGAAGGATCGGTATTCCGCGTAGAGCCATGGACCGAGACATAAGGTAAAGGGTAAATTCTCGACAGATAGAACACGCTAAAAAGTTGTTAGGTCTAGCTCACGGTGATACAAACCAACTGGCTTAATCTCTCGGAGGTGCTCAACATTACAATGGAGAAAAAGACTCCGGATTTGAGATATGAGGAGTTCCGAATCTACCTGGGTTGTAAGGGAGAGTTTCGCTCGTCTAAAATCTTAATGTAAAAGAAACTCCTTTACATAACAGCGGCGTGAAAACATGTCCACTTCTCGACCCCAAATCTTTCGAGGACACCATCCATATTACCGGCATTACGCTTAATTAATTCAGCGTGCTTTTCGATTAATTTTATCTGTGCAGGACAGGTTTCTACAGAAATAATAGTCCAGTGGCAACATACCAGCTTTTTCAAGTGCTGAGATGAGCGCCTGTAGATTTCCCGATGCCATTTTGAGGGAACGCTATGGGGTATGCACGACAAGGTAAGCTTGCTTGGCGGTGGAAAGAATGGCTGTAGGAGTCCAAATTCCACGCAGAAACGTTGTCCAATTCAGTAGTTTGTAAATTCCGAATATAATCTTGTCTTAATATAAGAATCAGTGCGGGTAAGTAGTTCAAACCAAGAATGAAGGTGTCGGTGGAAAGACAGAAAGGAATGAGGCTGGAACCTGACTGAAACGCGGACAATAGCAAACAAAACAACGTAATGATCGACGGAAAAATGAAGTAGGATGGTATGAAGGCGAAAATATGCTGAAGAGAAAAAAAACGGTAATAGGAAGTTAGCCAAATGCGAAACTTTGGGACCAAAAATGACTTAAAAGCATTATTCAGTATTAAACGATTACCATAGGCCATCGGTCTGTACGATGCTGCAACATGTGCGGTACTAGTGTCCGTGGTCATCGTTAGGCTGCAAATTCATTATAACGATAATATGCACTTTTGTGTGAGACTACACTTTGGGCTACCAGTTCAACTCGCTCGAGGAGTCCAGTTAATACTGGATAGCATGGTTTCTGGCAGCATCAGAGACCTCTTACAAAGGACTTAAGACACGTTGCCTAGCTAATGTACCTGTTTATGACCTGAGCCGTCCTTTCGGCCGTCCCTTCAAGTTATGCTTAGCACTATACAGCATCAACCGACTTATGAGTTTCCAAACAACAAAAATATTGTTCAATTTATTGTGGGATGGAAATATTTTGGAATTCGCAGTTGGAGCTCTGCACACAGATTACGAAGGAAGCATCTTTCTGCCTGCCAAAGTATAGAATTTGTGGCAGAAATAAACGTTTGGGATGCAACCGAAATAACATTGGATGAAACCTACGAAAGTGTCAGTTACTAACATATGTACCGCCTGAACTATCTTCTTGCCGAGGTAGCCTGAAATGCATTGATAATATTCTTTTATTTTTATTGTTGTTTACATCGGCCCATTTCCCCTGTCTTGGTACAAGCATTTCCTCCAGCCGAAATCTGACGTCCTTCTGTACTGCAATGATTGGTGACCAGTCTGGCGAAGTCAGACCTGTTGTTTTAAGTCTTGTCTGTTGTATCTGATATGCGTAGTCGCTGACATCAGTCGACTTTCTGTTTAACCGCCCACACACTCACTTGGGGAGTGCAGGTAGTCTTTTGTCCTTCAGTTCAATTCAGTTTATTGACGAAAATATGCGTGATCCTTTAAGTACCCTATTTGCAACGTAAAATTGGGGTCAGTGTCCAAAGAAAATACGTGGATTGAAATAATCCAAATGGGTCCATAATAGTATGGCCAATTGAGCGTGAGTCTCGGTGGTTGAGCTCAATCGCTCATCACTCTTGTACATTTAGGAACTTAAATATGTCGCTTCCTTTTAAGGCTTTGTATCGATGGGGACACCACATGTGCGGGGAGGGCATTTCATGGTTTGACCACACTGACAGAGAAAGAGAACTTCAACATATCCAGCCTTGCCTACTTAATGCGCAGTTTTAACGGTGACGTCGGAGGTTTGTCGTGGTAGCGAGTTCAAAAAAGTCCTCCAGGGTCGGGCTACAATCCAATTCCTTCACAGTGCGGAAGGCATGTAAATGATCACCGCGCAGTTGCTTAGGAAGTAAGTTCAGACCTATTTAGGCGGGTTGAATAAGGAAAGGAGATTTGAACACTTTCCATATTCTTGGCTCTCCTCTAGACCCTTTTTCAGACTATCTTTATTTAGAACCACCCATGGTCTTCAGGCTTGTATGTAGTATCCCCAGTGTGGTCACACGAGTGTTCCAAAATCTTTGAGAAGACGTCTTCATCGAAACCCATAAATGCTCCCTTGATGGCGTACAGTACGGACATTTTGCATTTGCCACTCTTTTCCGACTTTGTCACTCTTGGGCAATGAGTGGATGGTTAAAGGGAGTTCGCGTCAGCACACTGAGGTCCACTTGGGTGTCGACCACAAATACCATCGCTACGGTAGAGTCGATCAGTGGATTCAGCACCCAAAATTTGTGGGAGCTATTCTGAATGCAAAAATCGAGTAATAGTCCTCTTAAATAAAGGATAATTTTGCAGAGTTTTCACACTCATGGGTAGTTTATTCCAAATAGCAATTGCATTTACAGAATAGAACCGACGATATTTAACAGTACGTGCCAGAGGCAGAAATAAGAAGACCTCACGGTGACTGTTACGTCGTGGGTGGATATGATGTCTTAAAGAGGAGAGTGGGTTAAATGTGTGATTAGATAAGAGTTTAAATAGCAAAAATAGTCCCTTTTGTAATCTACGGAACCATAAAGGATCGAGGCCTGTAAGCCAGCAACGTTCTTGGTAAGACAAATGTCGGTGTTCCGGGGTGAAAATTCTCTTGGTAAAAAAGTGTTGAACGGATTCTATTTTCTTCCGCTCAGTAGCACGGATGAGGTTAGATAAAAACGAACAGTATTCCAGACCAGGTCTAACGTACATGTCCTTATCAAAGCTTACCCCAGCACATCCAAAACATCGTCTATCTTCTTATCCAGTTTGGCGACTGGCAATCAGTCGGTCGTAGTGATTCCTATAACTTCTGAGTACGTATTGTATGGCGTTCTCCGCGAGCTTCATAGTCCTCAGTCGGTTTCTTACTAGTCACTTACAAGGTTGATAGAAGACATCCGTGGTTTCTTTTTGTGTCGCTGGCCATCGTGTTACACCCACTTTTGTCACGTATCGAGAGTTCAGTTTCTAATTTCCAGCCACAAACAAAACTGTCCATCGCATTAGCTCCCTCACAGAGTTTCTTTTCCCTGTTCTCTGAATGGTATCCAGCCCACCGCAGTCTCTAGCATTTTTAACCTCGTTTTGCACATCTGATGCGGAGGACATCGCAGTTATCAGCCCATTTTCCGCTTATCAACGGCAAGATAGTTTCAGCACCCACTGAAAGAAACTTTCGTGGGCTGCACGCGAATGCATGTACCCTTCTTGAAATCTACCACAAGGCCACTTGTATTACTGCAATGGTGATACTAGGAGTTTTTACGGATGGGACCTATCAAGTTAGGTCATGCGTTTAGTTCTGAATTACGTAAACAGAGAATAAATCGTAATTAAGTCGAATTCTTCTGTCTATGTAGTAGACAAATACCGAGCAAAGCCCCCATAATTCAAAGATCTAATAAAAGGGACCAGCTCGCGGCCAGCCGGGAAAAAAGGTCCATCGCAGTTAAAATGCTAGGCAACCGATCCTGGACGTAATAATGGATGGGCGGACAGGAAGACCCGTGATACTGTAGGATTAAGTACGCAGACCCTGAGGACAAGGCAAGTGAATAATGGCTGTAATTACTGAAAGGCGGGTCACTCCTAAGCATTGAATTTATCATAAAGTGGCATACAGTTCTACTTTACGAACGCAGTATGCTGACTTGGCGTCAGTTCCAACAACCAAATAGTATTTAACTTGATAGGCATTTATTTAGATAGATAGATAGGTAGATAAATAGATAGATAATTTTTTATTAAAGACCCTTCGGGGTCCCATCAAAGCAAGCTAAAATAAATCTACATGCGAGTTTTAGACGAGGTAGGCCGAATCTTTACAAAATGCAATTCATAGTTTCTGAATTATTAGTCCATTGAGAAACATTTACTCGAATACGACTGATATAATTCACCCACAGAGCTATGTAAACATATGCACTCTTTTCATCGTATATCTGTTAATAGGGTTTTACTGGGCACTGTCCATCTCCCTTTTATATACTGAACTTTACTGTATTAACTGAACCTCAGTTTGGTCGCTTGGCCCTATGGGTAGTAGGTCTCATAGGCCAAGCACCTACTCCTACTCCTGAGTAAAATTAAGGTAAAGGCAGTTTGACAGCCGTTCTCCCCAGATCCGGGGTTGAAAGTAACCTTTTAACAAAGACGCTTGACCTTTGCCGACTGTAACAATTTGTGATTACAGTTAGCTGGCAGGATTCGAGAGGTTTATGTCTGCCAGTAAATACCAGGAGCATCAAAACCCTCGACGATAGAGACGTACGTCTTCTCACTGACTTTGTACCATCCAGTTATGAGAAGAAGGTCGTGATCAGACGTCTGGTTTGGCGAACGGTGTGTCACCGACAGCGCTAGCGGCCGGACATAACTAGTAAAAGTAGTGATGGCTATCACTCCCAATTTATTTGGCGGATTAAATGCTTTGGCGATAGCGGTTAGCTCGCAGGTGGTATAAAATTTCACCCCTTCTCATATGCTTTGCCTACCTCTCCTGAAGTGTTGATATCCCCTGAGCGATATTTCGGATTGCTCGACGTCTTCGGTAAGCCATAGGTCTGCGAAAGTTGCGATGTGTAGCTCTAATTCATAAACTAAGTTTTAAAGTTCGTTCAGTTTGTTGAACAGACCAGGGTTCAATTTGTACTGTTAAACGACATCGTGCGCACCAGCATGCTTTCATTTACTCCTCCAATTTACGCCATTTAGGCCAAAACAAAACAAACTCTTACGAATTGATTTTTGATCAGGTGTAACATTCTCTTGCTGAGTAAGAGCCATTAAAGACATACTGTCACTAATCTCATTACCAACTTGAAGACCTCGAATTCAGGATAGTCTCGCTTTAAAGTGGGCCGTTTCTCCAGATGTTCAACTTCTAAAATTGGACGGCTGTTTGCTTCCTTAACCACTTGTGTCCCGTTTTAATGCTTGGAATGTCCAAATTCCCAAACAATACTCGGACGATCTCACTCGGAAGCACGTGCGCGTCCCGGCTGTGTACTGCCTGAGCGCATAAGCACACTCTCGACGGCATCTCGCCATCGGTTGCG